TGTACCTTTACTATTTACTATAAAAAAAAAAAAAAGTTTTTTACATATTTCTTTAGGAAATACTCCTTTCTCCAGAAGTAAAGCCCACTGAAAACAAGCTGGATTAATAAGAAAGCAAAGCTGGGGTGCAGAGTTACAGGAAAAAGCCTAGTCTGTCAGTTCTGCTGTTGACATGGAGGTTTACAATGGCTTTCAGGCCACCTGATATGGTAGAAACTCATAAAGGGTGGGCAAAATTAGTATTGTATTTTCTAGTTTAAACTGTATTTTTATATAGTCTTGCTTTGTAAAAGTTGAAAAATGATTACATTTTTATCAAGGTATAGTATGGGCTTAAGGCTAGTAATCTTAGTATTACATTATAAATTTATATAGCTTGCAGTATTTCTGATGTGCTCTATGTGCTCCATCTTGCATTCATGAAAAGCTCTTGCAGAGATGGTTTTCAGTAACCACCACAGCATGACACGTGCCTATAGCAACTGGACATAAGAGGTGATAGGTAAATGTGGTATGTAATGCTGTCAGGCAGAACTGCAGCAGGTTGCAATGAAACAATGAAGGCCTCAGATTTTTTTTTTTTTTAACTGGGTTATAAATTGATTAGGTTGGTTGGAAAATTTCTTCTGAAACAAAAGATTTGGCAAGTAAAATGCTAAGAATTGGGAAGAGTCATAAGTCAAAAGGTATTATTGACTCTACTTTCAAGAAAAATCACGAAGAACAATGGGAATCAATTGCTTTCGTTATTTAAAGACACCATTCCAGGCAGTAACTGGAGGTAAAAATAGAACTTTATCAAAGTTACTTCATGGTGATGATATTGACTACCACAATGATTTTTCATACTTACCACAGGGAGTCAGTGACGCAGTAGGGAGCCACCAATATGGACTTCCATTGCTTTTTACTATGTGTAAAATTGTTGGCTTGTTATTCTTGACCAGCATCCATTGAGGGATGAAAAGCAGACACATTTATAACTCTGCTGAAACTATGGATACGAAATCACTTCAGTTAATCTCAACTGATGTTTGAAGTTTCGTAAAAATCTCTTTGGCCTGCACAGTATAAGTCAGTTATAGCGTATACAGCATAGACACTTGAAAATGCCTTGCAGTTTAACACGGATTGACAATGGTGGTGGCTGCTCTGTAGAATGTGTTTACTCTGCTCTGCTCACAGAACTGGAATGAATGCGTGATTCCTCTTCATTCAATACTTTAGAATAATATGAGGTTCTGACTGAAGTCAATGTTGTAGTGATTAATATAAAGTTATCCAGGTCTAACAAAGTATTATGTTTAGTTATGACTAGGCAAATGAGATTACTGGAAGACAGAATAGGATGGCTAGAGTCCAGTAAAGTATTACTAAAGGCCTACATATGATATTTGTGGCATTGTATGTAGGAATATTGTAAGAAATTCAGAACAGCTCAAATGTATCATTAAATGAACTCATAATAAGGGCTGATAACTGAACATCAGTATATGCCTAATGTAGGGATAATTCACTAGTGAATGAAAAAACTCATAGTATATGATAGGTAACTACAGAAAAAAAATGCATTAGTTGGTGTTTAAGAAAGTGGTTAAATGTAAGAAGCTAAAGTTTGAAATGTTTTGGTTGGTGCTGCTTGACAGATCTGATGACTGCTTGATGACTGAGTCTGATTATTGACACACAGGGTTATGCTTGCTATCTGCCATGTTGCACTGAGGAAGAAACCCAGGTGAGAAAATTGGTCATGAGTCGAGCAGTTGAGTTTGGGTAAACCTATGTGAATCTGATTCCCAGAAGGTTTAGATTAGTTAATAGAAATATTGTGGCCAGTGCTGAGCAGCTACAACACTGCAGAGCACCATGGCAAATGTCGGAAGGAGCAGACAGTATTGCTGCTCTGTGTGCTGATAATTTATTTAGAAGATGCAAATAGTGAAGTCTTTATCTTCAGTCATTTGTCATGGGTGCGCATCTCCATAATTCCTATCCTTATATGCCTTCGGGCTAGATCTCCTTTGCATCACTAACATAAATTCTTATTTTACCTTATTTCAGCAGAAATCCAGTGGCTGAAGATTATGGAACTTCCTTGTATTTATTCTAAAGAACACTCAGATTCAGAGCCTGACATCTAGAAAGGAACACCCATACTGCCAATACTGCCAGGGGTATTTTTAGGCATTTAAACGAAGTTACCAAGCCAAACCGCGTGTGTGTGCACACCTGCAGGACTGCAAACTTATTGATATCACAGAGACATGGTGGGATGACTCCTATGACTGGAGTGGAAGGAGACAGGCTGTTTAGGAAGGACAGTCAGGGGAGACAAGGAAACGGTATCTCCCTCCATGTCAGTGAGCAGCTGGAGTGCATGGAGCTTTGCCTGGAGATGGACGAGGAGCCGACTGAGAGTTTACAGGTCAGGATTAAAGTCAAGCAGGGACAGGTGATGTTACCGTGGGGGTCTGCTACAGGCCGAGCTGATGAGGCCCTCTATGGACAGAGAGAAGCAGCCTCACGTTCACAAGCCCTGGTCCTCATGGGGGGCTGCAGCCACCCCAATATCCGTTGGAGGGACAACACAGCAGGGCACAAGCAATCCAGGAGGTTCCTGAAATGTGATGATGATGATAATTTCCTTCTCCAAGTGACAGAAGAGCCAGCAAGGAGAAGTGCCATGCTGGACATTGTCCTCACCAAGAAGGGACTTGTGGGGAATATGAAGCTCAAGGGCAGCCTTGGCTGCAGTGACCATGAAATGGTGGAGTTCAAGATCCGGAGTGCAGAGAGGAGGGTGCACAACAAGCTTTGCTACCCTGGACCTCAGAAGAGCACACTTGACCTCTTCAGGGATCTGCTTGGCAGAGTAGCATGGGATAAAGCCCTGGAGGCAAGAGGGGCCCAAGAAAGCTGTTTAATATTCAAAGATCACCTCCTCCAAGCTCAGGTGAGATGTATCCTGACACAGAGGAAGTCAGGTAGGAAAGCCAGGAGGCCTGTATGAATGAACAAGATGCTCTTGGAAAGACTCAAACACAAAAAGGAAGCCTACAGTGGGTGGAAGGACAAGTAGCCTGGGAGGAATAGAGAGAAATTGTCTGATCAGCCAGGGATCAGGTTAGGAAAGCTAAAGCCCTGACAGAATTCGATCTAGCCAGGGATGTCAAGGGCAACAAGGAAAGCTTCTATAGGTGCATCAGTGTTAAAAGAAAGACTAGGGAAAATGCGGGCCCTCTCCAGAAGGAAACAGGAGACCTGATCATCCAGAATATGGAGAAGACTGAGTCAGTCAGTGACTTTTTTGCTTTAGTCTTCACCACCACATGCTCCAGCCACACCACCTGAGATGCAGAAAGAAAAGACAGGGACTGGGAGAATGAAGAACTGCCCACTGTAGGAGAAGATCAGGTTCAAAACCATCTGAGGAACCTGAAGGTGCCCAAGTCCCCGGGACCTGATGAGATACTTCCACAGGTCCTGAGGGAACTTGTAGATGAATGGCTAAGCCACTATCCATCATATTTGAGAAGTTGTGGCAGTCTGGTGGAGTTTCCACTGATAAAAAGGGGAAACATAACCTCCATTTTTAAAAAGGGAAAAAAGAAAGACCCAGGGAACTACAGGCCAGTCAGCCTCACCTCTGTGCCCAGGAAGATCATGGAGCAGATCCTCCTGGAAACTGTGCTAGGGCACATGAAAAATAAGGGAGTGATTTGTGACAGCCAACATAGCTTCACTAAAGGCAAATTGTGCCTGACAAATTTGGTGGCAAATTTGATTACAGTGTTGGTGGGTAAGGGAAGTGCAACTAATGTCATCTACCTGGACTTGTGCAAAGCGTCTGACAGTGTTCCGCATGACATCCTTGTCTCTAAATTGGAGAGACATGGATTTGATGGATGGACCACTCAGTGGATAAGGAATTGGCTGGATGTTCACGCTCAGAGTTGTGGTCAACAGCTTGATGTCCCAATGGAAAGCAGTGATGAGTGGCGTTCCTCAGAGGTCAGTGTTGGGACCAGTGCTGTTTAACCTCTTTGTCAGCTACATGGACAGTGGGATCCAGTGCACCCTTGGCAGGTTTGCTGAGAACTCCAAGCTGTGTGGTGCAGTTGACACACCGGAGGGCAGGGATGCCATCCAGAGGGACCTTGACAGGTTTGAGAGGTGGGCCCATGCAAACTTCATGAAGTTCAACAAGGCCAAGTGCAAATCCTGCACATGGATTGAGGCAATCCCAAGCACAAATACAGGCTGAGAAATGAGTAGATTGAGAGCAGCCCTGCAGAGGACTTGGGAGTGTTGGTTGACAAGCAGCTCAACATGACCTGGAAACATGTGTTTGCAGCCCAGAAAGCCAACTGTGTCCTGGGCTGAATCAAGAGCAGTGTGGCCAGCAGGTCAGGGGAGACGATTCTGCCCCTCTACTGTGCTCCTGTGAGGCCCCACCTGCAGTGATGCGTCCAGGTCTGGGGCCCTCAACGTAAGGACATTGACCTGCTCAAGTGGGTCCAGAGTAGGGTATGATGACAGTCAAGGGGCTGGAGCACTTCTCCTGTGAGGACAGGCTGAGAGAACTACGGTTCAGCCTGGAGAAGGCTCTTTAAGTACTTAAAGGGAAGAGCAGCCTTCCAATACCTAAAGGGGGACCACAAGAAAACTGGGGAAGGACTGTTTATCAGGGAGTGTAGGAACAGGACAAAGGGGTAACAGTTTTAAACTGAAAGAGGGTAGATTTAGATTAGGTGTAAGGAATAAATTCTTTACCATGAGGGTGGTGAGACACTGGAACAAGTTGCCCAGAGAAGTTGTGGATGCCCCCTCCCTAGAATCATTCAAGGTCAGGTTGGATGGGGCTTTGAGCAACATGATATACTAGAAGGTTCCCCTGCCCACAGCAGGGGGGTTGGAACTAGGTGATCTTTAAGGTCCCTTCCAACCATTCTATGATTCTATGATCTACAAAGGCATCTGGAATGAAAACAGTGTTTGTCTACACTTAAAATACCACTTATTTTATTGTGGTGCTAGTGGGAAATCAAAGCAAAGGAAGACAAAGAACCCCCCATCCAAACCTAAAATCTTGGAAGATGCTTTTTTTGGGTGTGCAGAAGTATTATCAGCATTAAACTGTTTATTATCAACGATTATTTTCCTATGTCAAAAGTAATTGCTGTTAAGTGATAGCTCTACTATATTTCAGTAGCTTAACTTAAAATCCTGTATCTCTTATTATGAAAGACCTTAAAGCAGGCCCTGTTACGTCTTATAACACAACCCCAAAGCTGCAAGATAGAATCGAGAACACCAGACAATTCACGTGTAGTCTGACTACACCAGTATCATCCAATATTCAGTGAGATGTGGCAGCAACTTCGGTCACTGGCTATCTGTTGTCTTCTATGACAATGGTTCTTCTAGGATAGGTGTCAACGTCCACAAATATGTAGCGGACTTCAAATCTTCCTCTCTCAGGATTCTGTAAGGAAAACAATTTCAGGCTGTTTGTTTCACTTTGGTAGTTTAAATTCAAGATTAAGCTTGCCAGCTGTATCAAGCAATTGTACATACCTCTTTGACTTCCACATGGACTGTTCCCTGCTTCCCTGGTTCAGAGCCCTCAATATAGAACTTCAAACGCATATGTTTCAGTCCATCCTTCACGTATTCAATGTGACTAAAAACAGCAAAACAAAGCAAAAACCCAACGCACCCAGCGAGGATACATATTATATCCCAGTTAAACTTCAAATTTAAACTTATTTAGAGGAGCTGCTTAACTATTTTATGAGAAAGTGTATTCCGATGCAGTCCTTATGCTACTGTGGGTTCCTTCTCTATGGCTTTACTGTAAGTGCATAAAGTCTAGTGGAGTTAGAAGAATGAATCAGCAGCTGAGGACTAACAGATGAACTGCTTAAACATCCTCACCCCAGTCCTTCCCTCAAAACTCGACCGCAATCCAATGTCTGAAGATTCTGGAATTTCCTTGTATTTATTCTAAAGAACGCCCAGATTCAGAGCCTGACATCTAGAAAGGAACACCTGCATCACCAAGACTTTTAGGGTTTGGGTTTGTTTACGCACTTACACTAACTTACCAAGCCAAAACACACAAAGGATGTTTTGTCAACTTAATTATCAGGTTGGTTAAATCACATCAAAACAAACAGTTTAGTATATGTTTTACTTATTTTAGCAATAATTTTGTTCTACGGAAATTTTGTAACTTTGGCCTGATATCAGATCTCCAACCTAGATGCTGATATTTAGACTGGAGTGGTTATGCTTAAGTATTAGAGAAACAGAAAGGTCACATCACCATCAAGGCCACCACTTCCAGAAACTAATGGTCAAACTAGTGTACCGGTGCCAGTTTATGCTTCCTACTGAAATTACTAACTGCTACATACTACTCTTATTTTCATCAGTCATGCCCAGATACACACTGTGAATTAAACTTCCAATACAGTTTAAGGTGGCAGGATGGGTTACAGAGAACAAAGATGAATGAAGAGTCTTACTGCAGTAAATTCACGTTCAAGGTGTTCATCCACAAAAAAAATATATGTACATTTTTCAGACATTTAAGGTCATCCTTATACTGCAGACAAAAACTCTACAATCCTACAAAGTCCTCAGCTCAAATATTTATTTAAAATACTAGACTTTCCAAATTATTGAAATTAAACACTAGGAAAGTTGATATAATATTTACTTATTTACATAGTTTGAGACAGATGCTTAAAATGTTTGTGCATATCCTTTTCACTTAACAGCCCCACTTTAAACACTTTTTCATAGTTGGAGACTTATTTACATAGTTTGAGACAGATGCTTAAAATGTTTGTGCATATCCTTTTCACTTAACAGCCCCACTTTAAACACTTTTTCATAGAGTCTGGTGAAAAGATAAACTTCCACCAGTAAAAATCATGTTCCTCTGGAAATTCTCAATTCCATGGTTCAAGTTGTGTATCTGGGCTTATGTGTCCCATCCTGTATGAAACCTTCTTGAATAAATTCAGGTCAAAGAACACAATAAAGACAACGCCCCTATTGGGTTACAGTGCAGATAGGATTTACATTTTGTAAGAATTAGTTCTGTTGTTTCCCTCAAAAGGAGAATAATAAATAAACACACTCATGAAAGGTTTAGGTGACAGATGTTCTGTTACATACACAGTAGAGATGGGGCCTCAAGTACCAAAAAGCAATGTAAGACATGGGCAGTCAATACTGCACATCAGCTTGGGACAGTGTACTCACTGCCGTGACTACAACCTGTACAGTCAGACCCAGACTAGCTTTAAACAGAGCAAGCTGGATTCTTCAAAGTCTGAAAGTTAGTACCTCCTGCTCTTTCTGGCCTGATAAAACTACTGCTTCAAGCGGAGAAAAACTCTCAAAGAACAATTTCACTCTATTAGAAGAGGGTTTCAGACTTTAAACTTCAGTCAGATCCCTGCCTCTGTACTACTCTCTTCAGACTCATCCTAATTTTTGAAGAGACCAGCTCTATGCTGACCATTGCTTGTTTTGAGGCACTCAGAACTGGCATTTTATGTTGTATGTGCACTGTATTTAGTGGTATGTGCCACACAAAAGTTACTGTAAAAAAACTGCTTGCATTTTCACTCAAAAGTGACAGGGTACACCCCATATAGTTCATTAATCTAGATCTAACTTGCTATGATGTGAGTCAAAATGTCTTCACTGTGCAAAAACTAGTGTCTGTATGGGGCAAACACTGAAGGGCACCTGACAAGCTGTCGTCTTCCTCTTCTTGTTGCCTCCCCATAACCTTTAATAGATTCACCAAAAACACCAATTATCTACAAGAGAAAAGAGGTTTGAGTTGTCAGAAAGTATCATATTCAAACAGATATTCCAGTACCAGCTCACACCCCTGCTGTGAATGCATTATCTTTCAGCAAAATGCCCCTTGTGAGTCTGATGTGTCAAGGACAGAAGAGTTTATGAAAGAAAACAGTGTAAGGAAAACTCCTCTGTATTTCAGCTCTTTTCTTTACAGCCACATATTAAATGTCTAAAATAAATCCTACTAATATCTTCCATTTGTACCGTCCTCTGAGATTATGACATTTTAATCTCCCTTCTGTGTATTTTACACTTTAATGACATTTTGCGCAAAAAGGAAAGCATGAAATATTTGCTCATGTCTCCTCCAAGAGAATATGTTTCAGTTTAAAATGCAAATACACTCCACATTACCTAAAAAACACTAGTTTAAGAAATTCACTTTTTTTTTCAGATCTATAAAGCCAGAACAAATTAACCTAGTTTTAAATTCAAAGTTGGTTAGAAAGGGAGGGTGATTTTTACTGTGTAAGTACCAGAGAGGTTTTAATTCTACAAATTTGTTCCAAAGCAGTCTTAATCTTTATTCTAGTGACAACTTCTCACTTCATGTTTAGGTTATCTTTAGTGGCATCTATGGCAACCTTGTTTGAAAGCTATTCCATCCATGCATTTCTTGTTTTGTCTGAAGTAGTAGTTTTTACAATCTAGTTTTAGATTGATTTTTTGTTTACATCTAGCTATCTTACGTGACTGTGTGATCACATGACTCTTCTCTGTTTCTTTTCCAGTTAGCCACAGGAACGCTCACTGTGTTCCAAATGAAGAATTTAAATTCCTGGATTCTTATGCAGTGCTTTGCAGAACGACAGAACCCTAGTGAAGTGTCCTAACAGAATAACTGTGCTGAGGAAAGGCAGTAGGCCAGATCTACAAAACTTAAGTGCGACCACTTGCCTCCCTGACCTGCAGAACTCCTTAAGTACATTTAATAGGCACTCAGGTATGTCTATAAGACTTTCTGTATGGGGACACAAGCACATGCTCTGGAGGGGCAGACTATATTTATCAGTTCTTGTGCTGTGCTACACACACTGAACTTGGCTTTTAGCAGGTTAATTCAGGCTCAGTGCTTGCATGAACTTGTCCTAATATAGGCTCCAATTTGGAGCTGGCCCACCTGTGGCCAGCTAAAAGCATAGGTATTTGCCCACTAGAAACAAAGGACTAAGTTTGTCCTGGTGTTTGTCCACTAAGCACCACGTGGGTCTTCCTGTAGCTTTGCTTGTGAGATTCCTTGTGCAAATTTTTGACTCAAAGAGAGACAGTAGCTACTGAGAAACAAAATTTAGAACTACGGTTCAAAAACCAACCTCGGGGTGAGATCTGCATTTCTCCAAGGCATCTCCATAGATCTTACTTGGACTAGAAGAAGAGAATAGCTCTTTAAAAATCACATAGAACAAACCACCTGTAACAGAAACAACAGCAAATGGAATGAAAACTAATCAAACCAGATGGAATTCATGAAAAGCATCTTCTGATACATAATATAATTTTTAAAAATAACCTGTAACACCAATTCCAACAAGCACCACAATGAAATAGGTAAAGTCTCTTCCAGCTTCTTTCACTGAAATAGACAGAAAACAACACAGGAGTTACAATCTTGGACAGTAAGACTTGCACAGCTTTCTTATATAAATGCTCTTCTCTCGGTCTGCAGATCAAATAACATTTTGACAGAACAAAAAATTCCAGTAACAGCTTCCACAATGCTTCATCACTAAAAGAAAAGAGATCATGGACCATCTCTTATGTTATACAAAGCATGTTTTATCTCTGTATTAAGTCTTATTATTTTCTGTTTTCCTAATATAAGTTTTCAAGACCCAGAATGGCACTTACTGCTACTTTTTGTGTGAGAGCTATATTTTTTAAGAACTAATGAGGTATTTAGCACTGCAGTACTCTAGCTACCATGTAAACTCACAATCATTGCAATCCTTATGCAGAGAAAGGGAGATGTAAAAATAAAAAAGCAAAAGTTTATGTTACACACACTGACTGAAAATAACCGATTTTGTGAATTCTCAATCAACTGAACAATAAAAAGGAGGCATATTAGACTGAAATATGTATTTTATTTATTGAGATCGTTCACTGCAGTTTATCTGATTACTTTTGATCTGAAGTAGTAGTAAAAGTGTCACTATACACTCCAAAAAGTCATGTGAGATTCTCAGTTACAAAATATTTTTTGAGAACTTGGAAAGAGACTACTGATTTAAGTAGTAAGGTATGCCTTTCGGTGAAGTACAAGTCACTGAGGAAACTTTAAGAACCATTTTTCCTGCAGTCTTCTCATCAGTTGAGAGTGTTTTTCAAAAACCTTTACAAAACACTTAGAATTCTTGAGGCTGATTATGTAGTAACCACTTTTCACTGCTGTGAATGAGACCAACCCATGTGACAGCCATCTATAAAACAACTTAGTATCATACGTGGAGCTCTGACAATTTTGCTGGAGGCGAACTTGTTTGAACAGCATCGAGACAGGCTGACGTGTGATAGGTTCTCCTTTTGCCAAGGAAAGTGAGAGGCTACTACATCTTACCCCTCATTTGACCGCAACACTAGGTCAACAAGCTGTTTGGGAGAAGCCACCCAAGTTCTGCTTGTGCAAGGCATACGCTGAAATATATCAACTGCTGTAATGGTGCGAAACGAAAGGAGCTTTTTTTTTTGGTAACACCTGAATTTTGGGGCTGCAAAATCTCAGCTACAGGAGTAATTTTCGCCGCGCTCAGTCCCTCCGCTCAGTGCACAGTGCCCCCGCTCCCGAGCGACTCCAGCCCGCCTCACCTTTCAGGGCAGCCGACAGCAGCGCTCCCTCTTTCCGGCCCGCTGGCACGGCCACGGGTTTGCTGCTCCCGCCCGGCTTTTCAGCTCTCAGCCCCCCGGCCTGCGTGCCGACGCTCAGCCGCGCGGCCCGGAGTAGCGGGGCGGGCTCCCGCTGCCGCCACCTCAGGCAGGGCCCCGGCGGCGGCAGCAGCGCCCAGCGCCGGGGGGCGAGCGGCCACCCCCCCAGGCAGGCCCGCACCCGCCGGCCGCGCTGCCCGGCCCGCCCGAGGGAGGCGGGCAGCATGGCGGAGCACGGCGGGGGCAGCCCAGCCGAGCGGGAAGTTCTCCCGGGGAGGGGAAGAGTCAGGGCAGCCTCCCGCCCCGAGCGCGGCTCTGCGGCCGGCGCGGCGCGTCAGGAGCCCCCATGCGCCCGCCGCCGCCCGCCGCCCGCCATTGCCGCGGCGGAAATCTTGGGGGTGGAGGGGAAAGCGGGGCGGCGGCCGGCCCGGGGAGCCGTAGTTTGAACGGACTCCCTCTTGCGCCCGCCGCTAGGATCGCCTCCCAGCAACATCACTACAGCGACCGCCATGCCGAGAGCCGCCGTGACCCGCCCTCATGGGGCGGGGGGCCCGCCGGCCGGTAAACGGGGCGCTGGCGGTCCCGGTCACCTTTTGGAAGCTTTTTTTTTTTTAAAAAAAAATATACATTGGTGTTTGATCTCGCACACATAAACGCATGAAAGAGATGCAGTTGCCGTTTCCACGAACGGAGAGCAGAACACTCGCGAGGCCGGTGCTCCAGCTTCCCCGCGACGGCGCAGCGGCGCGCAGCTCGCCGCGGGGCGGGGCGGGGCGGGGGCAAGCTGCCAGGGTGCCTGTCGGAGGTCCTGCCGGGCTCCCGGCGGCCGTCGCTGCGGGTCCCCAGTCCGTTAGCGCTTCCCGTGCGCCCCAACACCGGCCCAACTGGGAACCCCCCGCAGCGGGCGCAGCAAAAGGCGGCGCTCGTACCCCGGCGGCCGCCCCGCTCCGGGTCCGCCCCGCTGCCGCGCTCGACGCCCGGTGCGGCGCAGGCTGGGAGCTGAGGGGGCGGGCGGCGTCCCCTCTCTACAGTTAAAAATCAGCTGCTTCTCAGGGCCGGGCACGGGCTCCCCGAGGCTGCCTTTCCCCGGAGTAGCGACAGAGCGGCGGGGAGGAGGGGCCGGCCCCGCGGGCCATGGCGGCGGGCGGGCCCTGCGGCAGGGCGGGCGCGGCGCGGCGGCCTCCCCGGGTGCCACCGGGGTTGGGCCGCCGCGGGTGTTCACCCCGGCCGCTGCGGGCGCCGGGCCCAGGTAACGCTCTCCCAGCCCGGCCCGAGGAGAGGCCGCCGAGCGAGGGGGGAGCAGGGCTCTGACCGCCCCAGAGCTCGTCCTTTTTCACCTTGTCCGCGGGGGGCTGCCTTGTTGTTCTCGCGTAACTCCCGCCCCTGCTCCGGGGAGCCCCGGCACGGCTCTGCTTTCCAGCTCTAAACTTGCCGCGGGCGGGCCTGCTCGCTCCCCCGGGCCCTGGGGAAGGGCACGGCGTCGTAGGGACGATGGAAGACGCGGGCACTGCCAGGCGTAGGGAGGGCATTAGTTCAACGTACCGCTCTCTCGGGGTGGTGAGGCTTAGACTTGGGTATGTGCTTGAGCTCAGGGCAAGTGGTGTAACAAGCAGTTGCCTGTCTACAGAGTACTAGCTAGCTCAGTGGCTATTGTATGCATGTGTTCAGGGCAGGTAGGCCTTTGTAATAAATGAGAGGATTTACCCGTGGAAAGTGTGATTAGCTTAATTCTCATAGTGCAGCCTCCAAAAATGTAAAGCACTGATCTTGGAAGCGAAGTTGAGAAAGCAGGTTCTTCGACATTTGGATTTCCCAGCTGTTTCATTCCCCCTGTTTTTTTCAACCTGTAAATGGAAAGGGTAACGCCCACCTTTTTGAAAGACTTTGGAATAGTTAGCTGAGGGGGAAAAAAAAAAAAAACAAAACAGCCAACGTGTCAAACATTACTGTCATATCTGTTTTTCCCCAGATGTTTATCTGACACTTGGAGGCAGGTTTTGTCGCTACGTAAAACTTTCTCTGCATTCATTGAAATAGAGGTGGTCCCTGACAAGCAAAAAAAGCAGTAGTCAAATTGCAAGTACTACAGGGCATGAAAGTGAAATTACTGGTACGAAACTGAGTCCCACAAGTTGAAAGCTAATGAAATAGCAATTGAGGTAGTTGTGCCCCTAATTAAGAGCATCTCAGTTGTTACTAGAAGTCTCTAGAGAGGGGGGAGTAATAGCTGTCATCACGTTTTTAACTTGGGCAGGCAAGCTTTGTCAGTGCAGTGTAAAAGCATTTTGTTAATACTAATTTCAAATCTTAGCACACACAATACTTGAAAACTGGTTTATGCAATGGATTTGCTGTTGTTTCTGCATACTTTGAGAATATTTTTGTTTTGGAAGATGCAAATATTCAGTATTTTTTTTTTAAATGATGCTTGCAAAAGTGGTAGATGTTATGTTGAAGTTTTCAAGGCATGTGTAGGCAACATATCTCTTACTTCAGCAATTCCTTCCTGGGGTGAAGAAGAGGGGGATGCAAGGAGTGGTTAAAAAGAGAGGAAGAAGGGCTGAATACAGGCAGTGCAGGTTATGCTTGTACCAGGTGAACTGTGTTGCAAAATCCAGGATCCCAGCTCCTGATCTGAATTATTCCTGTACCTGGGATCAGTGTAGGCATGTCATGGTAGAGTACACCCAGACTAGGTATCTTTGTGCTTTCAGCATAGATACAGGGCAGAGTAGCCTAGGAGGTGCTGCCCAGAATGCTACAGAAGTGGTAGTTCTGCTGTGGAACATAGCTTCTGTCTCTGATTCCCTTTCATGCCTTTTGAAAAATGCAGTTTGTTACAGCCTCATCTCATCATCTAAGTTTACTTCCTGATAATAATACACGAGTAAAGCATCTGCTTGATCTTCAGGGTGTATTTGATGTACAGTTACGTTTTTGCAGTTGTTAATTTTGTCAGTCTATCGGAGATTAGCACCCAAGCTGAAATGTGCATGTCTTTTTGTGTTACGCTTCTAAAAATTCCCAGTAAAACTTCAGGTATTTTTTTACATAGCAGTTGACAATGTAGGATAGAGTTGTTTTTTATTTCTGATTTTTATTTTTCTTTGATCATAAACCAATCTTAAATCAAGAGCAGCATGCATTAAATGTACGAGGTACCCATGTACTTCAAAATTAGATTTGTTTTTCTCCAACATTGATTGGTTGCTTAGAAACCCAGAGTTGGATTGACCAGGTGTTGGAATATAAACCATCACTAACAGAGTGTATAGGGAGCTCTGCCTGCTCCGTGGCATCAGTGGGTATGAAGTGTAAGGATTTGATTAAGACTGAAACCCCATCTGACTATTTCTACGTGGTTTAATGATAGTATTTGTAATTATAACTTCTAAACTTCTTACTATCAGAAATCTTTGAAAAAATATGTGGCCAGTTAGATTATAAGAATTTATTTGTGTTAGAAATATGCAAAGTTGCTTTCTTTAGTAAGAGAAAGTAATTTGTGTCCAAATTGTTACGGGTTAATGAGCGATAAAAACATTGATGCCCAACTTGGCTCTTGAACTAACACTTATCCGCAGAGTTGCTAGTGTTTTAGCAGGGCAAAATCTGAAATGAGACTATAAATTTGTTTTAAATGTGATTCTGTTTTGTAGTCAAGGGAGTTCTTTTTGAGCCTTGTCAGTTTTTGAGAAAGTTTCAAGGTATTGTTTTATTTGTTATCTTTTAATAGTTTAGCAAAGTTGGTTGGCTCTAAAAGGTCTCTGGAGTAATGTTGCAAAACAGAAGATTAATCAGTGAGTTTGACTTACTGCAGGGGCCTATCTGGAGCTTGATTATGGTGGCCACAGTGGTGCAGCTGTCTACTCGTAATGGCTCTCTACCAGATTCAAACTGATTTGGTGGTGCAGCACTGTTCCCTTCTGACTGCTGTGAGAGGTTAATCACGGGATAAACAACCATGAGTTTAAATCTGGCATCTTTGTGATGTTGGGTATTTTAACTTGGTGGCAGTTGTTCAAATTAGTGAAATGATAATAATGAGTTAGCTTGTGATACATTCCTTGAATCCTGTCTCACTTGAGACATGGTGTTGAGGTGTGCACAATATTAATATTTCTTAATTTTGTGATGGTGTGACTCCTAACAGCTTTTCCTTTTTAGCAACAAGTCAAGGAGCTTTGCTGCCAGGCCTGAGGAATGTTCTGAAACTGTAAATGCTGGAATTAACAGTCTGTATTTGATGCCTTCCATAGAACCAAAACCTAGTTTGGGCATTGAGAGGTGAGTATGTCTTCAGTTTAGGAGTAAGAGTGCACACTGTAAGGCATCTTTTGACTGCTTACAGTTATTAGGGTGATACCCTAGAGATTTCCATGTCAGATTTTCTGAGGTGAAAAGAAGAGATTTGCTTATATGGTCTGCTTTATGATCCTATGTCGACCTTCTAATGTTTCCAAGCATGGTTTTCCCTCGCCTCCTTTTCTTAGCTCATATGAAGTATGTAGGTTTTCCAAGTCATACAAAGCCTTCAGCAGCTCCTTTGCAAATCATGGTTTGTGATGTTCCCTGAGAATAAAAATTGCTACTGTATTACCTCAGTAAAAGCCATTTTGGAATTAAACTTCTGATATTTCTCTTGATGCTTGTTGCTTTGTATAGAGAGGCTCAGGATGATGGAGTGGGATGAGGGGGGAGGAATAAAGTGGCTGCTGTGTATTTGCTACAAGGTAAATGTTTCTTGCCCTGTTTGATAGTGAAAGGACACTTCTGATGTAATCATGAGTTGTTTTCTTTTTGAAAATCTGTTATATTTCTACAAAAACCATCTAAGAATATGTTACATGAAAGATTATTCATTGTCTTTGTTTTATACGTTTTGTAGCTTCTTGTGTAGTCGTTTCTCTGTTTTCCATTGGATGGCCAGTTCAGTCCCTTATGTTGTTAGTTTGGTGTGCAAGACGAGAAAAAATAAAAAAAATAATTTCTATCAGCTTCCTTCAAAGAAGAAATATGGTTGTAAAAACTCCTGTTGAGAATTCTACATCAAACATATTATTTTAGATAACCTACAGATTTTTAAAGGATCATTTCTAAATTCTATTTGGAATAAATACACTAACTGCTTTGGGCTTAGACTGTGAGTTATTTCACATAATAACCGAGCTTTGGCACGGTTGTCTCTCTTAGTGCAACTAAGATTCTGAGTTTTAATAAAAAATGTGGAATATTGGCATTATTATCATTCTATACTTGAAAGCTATATGCTTCTGGGATAAAGTATGATAAATCATCAGGTGTTGTAAGTGACACAGTAGTACATTGGCAAGAGACACATCTGAGGACTTGACTTTCACAGCAGCTTGTGTTTTCAGTTGTGATTTTGACGTTACCCTACTACCATGCTCCAAAAGGTTAGAGTATAAAATACATCTTTTTTTTAAACTTTATGCAGTTACTGCATGCTACTTGAAAGGTATGAGGTTTCTGTCTGTTAATACAAAAATCATGGTGGCTCACCTCCAGGTTATGTTGTGCTTGGTGTACTTAGGCTGGCATCTGCATTTCAGGCGGCCTTGCAGATGCACAGAAACTTTAATGTTCTCAGGATGCCACTCGGCTTTTATTCTGAAGCTGGCATCTTTCTGCTGACATAAATGAAACCAGTATGAGCACATATGGTTTGAAGGTTTTGATGTAGTAGAGCATGATCTCACTGCTTGACTGGGACATTCTGTCCTGGTGCCTTGCGAGACCTGACACCACAGTCAGGAGGAGAGAGTGAGTATACCTAGTTCTGACAAATACTGGTGGTTATGGACTAAGTGTTAAAGTCATGGTACAAGCAGTGAGAAACTGATGTTGAGTGAGGCAGTTTCATGTCAAACTGTGATAAAGTTAACAAAGTTTGATGAAAAGGCAAACCCATAACTTTTCATGTAATTGTGCTGTGCCACTTGAATGGGTTGTGGTGAATTGTTTTAAGCAAATGTCTATCAGAGACAAATCAGAACCCAAACTCTGCAAATTAACTCCTAGGTGAGTTTTGATTTGCATATTTACAAGCTGACAGTTTCCATCTCTTTTGTTTTGCTCTAGTTTGGAATGAAAATTCTTTGCCATTGTAATTTCTGGCATTTGCAGGCAAGTATAATGGTATTCCTCTTGTTTTCCAGCATGCCATCAGAAATGCTGATGAAGATATTTTCCTATTTGGATGCTGCGTCTCTATTATATGTTGGATGTGTGAATAAGCACTTCTATCATCTGGCCAATGACAAGTAAGGAAGAGGGAAGCATAAGTGCTAGTCCTAACTGTGCAGCAGTTGAGTTTACCTGAGTTATGAGTCTTTCTAATTTAGTTTCAGTGATGCCAGAGCACTGATGCATGTACCTGCTGGCAATTACTCTCCTGAAAATGTACTGCATAGCTCACAGCACAGTGTGTTGTATGGAATTTTAGCTGTGCAAGCCCTGTTAAGTTTAATGGGAGTTATGAGGCGAAAACTAAATACTGTGTTTCATAATGTTGCTATTAGCCTTTATTTTGTTGTAAAATTTGCATATATTTGTTTTCATCCACCTGCACCTGCACAGGCTTTTTGGTTCAGGCAATCCTTAGTGATGCATAGCTAGGAGCTTTGTAGAATTGTCATGGCTTTCGTAGTTTTGAAGTCCTACTTATTTTGCTCTTTCATTAGATTTTTTCAGAGGGTTTGATTTAGTCAAGTGATTCACTAGTGGGTTTTATCTGTTGTTCCTTCTGTCAAATTTTATTGACTTGTAAATGAAAACGGAAGTGGTGAAGATAAATACTGACATATTTCTTGTAAGTGATTGGTTATACAGAGTTCACAAGTTGCTGCTACCAGTATCATAGTAATTTTGTCAAAGGATCAAGAGGAGAGACCCTGATTGTTATGTGACAACTAGGATGTCTGGGTATCCTTTTTTTTGAAGATTCTGTTGCATTAGTGCTGTTTAAATGAGGAAACGTCTTCCTGTATAAGAAGTTGCTGCATCTGGTATTCATCCATTTCTCACGTATTTCCCCAAACTTGTACAGTGAATTGGTTTACTTTGGCATTGACACCTTTAGAACTGATGAATTTAAAGGGAAGGCCATAATCCAGATTTACTTTTTGAGGCTGTCAGCAGGTGCACGAAGATAAAAATTGCATAGCTGACACAAATTATATATCTTACTATGCGTTTTTCACTTCTGGATAGTAAGGCAGGATAAAATCATTGTGGCTGTTCAAAGGAAGCTGATTAATCTGTCTCCATCTCAATAATGTCTGTTTCCATTTTCTAATCTTGACAGAGATTACTGTATGTGTACAGATGGGATTTAAGGAAGAGCTATTTTCCCATATCTAGGAGACAGGCTGGTTCAGTGGGACCAGGTCACTTCTTCCCGCTGGATTTCCGTGGATCTTGAGTCCCTGAACCCTGTAGTGAATTAACAGAAGTTCTAACTGAAGCTCCTGCATATGTTTGTGACAAATCTGATCTTGTTTATTAGGCAGAGTATCCTTTTGAGGATATTTCTGCTGTCCTGGCTATGCAGGATGCAATAGGACTATCAGTTTTTCACTGTGATAGATCAGTGTTGCTTAATGCAGTGCTTTGTCTTTGGGCTCTTCAAATGATGTCTGTGCTTTAACAGTCACTTGGCACTGATGCCTTCAATGTAACTGTTGAAGGCAAGGAAATGTTTTTTGGCCTCCCTTTCTGCACCCTGACCTTGCCCCAGCACGTGGTATTATTCCAGCCTTCCTGTCATGCAGTGTGGGAAGCTCACATAGGTGGTCTGTCTGAAAGCCTGAGGGTTTTGGTCACCGTCAGAAAGTGCATGTATAAGGGGAAGTGAGAAGCCAGAGCACAGGAGAAGATCTTTTTGCCATTGTGGTCAAGTGATGACTGAGAATGGTGCATGTCTGATTCTGGCATTTGAGTTAGCAGTACGAAGTTGGGTTGGCTTGTTGTAACAATGTCCAATAAGAGGCCTTGAGGTGAATATTAGAATTAACAATTTAGGGCAAAAGTGGCATGTATTCTGCTGTGAAAGGGGCAAATTCATGCTTCCCAGTTAGATGCCTTTTTCATTTGTCTGTCCTGAATTCTTCAGAAGTTGAGGTTGAAGGGGCAGTGATATCTGCCTAAACACTTGTAATTCCAAGTTCCCTCTTTTTTTTCTCCTCTGCCTCACTGCCCTGACTGAATTCTTGAGCTTCTTGAACTGATTTCTCATTTGCTTGCAAAATGCTGTTTTGAGAAAGGAAGAAACAATATGTAACTGAGAGTGAGGAGAAGGATGGTAGGTATTGTTGGCAAGTCTGTCTTCATTCAGCTTACATTGCCTGAGAAGATACCTTCAAAATGCTATCCTGAATATCCTACTAACCCCTGTCTTTCTCAGCATCATGCAGCCAGATGCTGAGTTTCTTTCCTCATGAAAGAAAGGATGTCTGTCTTGGGAAGGAATTACTAATTAATAGGAGAGGGTTGTAGGAGGACATCTCACTGGACTTTTTAGGCTGAATAAGACCAGTTGGATGGTACACAGCTCAATTTCCCCTGATAATGGTGTGTCAAGGACATCTGTCCTCTGTTTTCATCATCCCACAATTCTTGGCTGCTTTGGAGTTGTATAAGAATTTCTTCCCTCCATCAGAAATGTTTTATACTATCTGGTAACTGGGTTGTCATTTCTGGTCTCAAAATTCAAGTTTCTTAAGTCTTTGTTCTACTTACAGGATTGTTCTTTATGTCCTCCCTCCCCACCAGATTTTGGTGAAAAAAAAGTTGGAAGCTCATGTTGACTGTGAAGCCTGCTTTACCAGTCATAGAAATGTATGGGTCTGTGTGTTTTAAACAGCTTTGACTCAAAAAAAAAAAAAAAACAAAAAAACAAAAAAACCCAGAAAAACAGAAAAGGCAGTGGGAGATTGTGCATATTTCTGCAGAGCAGCAGGCTGGGAGGTTTTTGCGAAATTGACTATGTTTGCATCAATAACAAAGAGCCTGGTGCTCAGCATGTGGCAACTTACTCTCAGCAGCTGATGAAGTGAGAGTGGTTTTCATGGGTAGGAGGCAGTATGGGATGGATGCAGTCCTTGAATGCTTTCCTGCTTTAAGGAGGGGAAAATGCATTACAAAGCACGTTAGTGTAATCTTGCCTGGGGATAAGCAAGAACTGGTAAAGGTAATCTTGTTGATAAATGGTAGAGAATTTCTCTTGAGAATTTGTTTCTGTTGCTATTAATTTTCTTTAGTGCAGTTATTGTAGACTGTGTGGCTAGCACTTTAAGATTAGAAAGCTTATTGGAAACCTTTATTCACAGATTATTGTTTGAATTCTTGTAACTTCTTGTACTCAATATTCCCTGAACTGTCCTAGAGATACTGGTGTTTGGGGGGCAGAAATGTGATCTCATATTTTTCCTAGCAGGAGAGAGGTGAACCCATCATTACTTTTGCATGTTTTTTTGATCTCTTCAAAAAGATATCTGATCTTTTCAAAAGAGTGCAGAAGGGATCGACATGACAGTGGTACTGCCACCAAACATAAGTGATTCTAATTGTCCTCCTCCACCTTGCTTTCAGCTGGATCTGTGTGAGAAACTTGAGGGGTCCAGATTGACTTTGCTGAGTAAGAGGTATTAAAACACTCTTTCCACTAGCTGATTTTGTGTGAGGAGGATGCATTGTTGTTTTGGGATGAAATTTTCAAAAGTAACTGTTTAACCTTCATCAGTTTTCACTTAAGTTGCTGACTATGGTTATTCTGTCTCTGACCTTCATCCTGGATCCAGTATTTTCAGGAAGACAGACAAGACTTAACTTTTTTTTCTTGCCTCATGATAGCTTTCTCTCAGATATATACTGTTTTGTTTTGTTTTTTGTTTTTTTTTTTTTTTTTTTTATAAATCTGCTTCAGTGAGTGTCTGTGAAGGAAGTAGCAGCATAAGGGGAAGGAAGGCATTTAAAAAAACCACATACTCTAGTGTGCTATTGAGAAGCATAAAACAGTAGGAAGTTTCCAATATCTGATGATCCTACTTTCTAGAGCACTAGTCAAACATTTCTGTATATGTAGTTGAGATGTTTATCAACCTTACTGGCAAATTGTAAGAATTAACTGAATATTTTTTTTTCCCCTGTGATAGAGCAGAAAGTTCTAAGTGAATCTCGTTAGGTATATATAATCCAGAACAAGAAATGTATTCAGAGATTCCATGTTCTTTGAGATTGTCCTGGGTTGAGTGAGTGGTGGAGTTTTTTGGTGGCAGGGGAGGGGGCTATCGGGGCGGCCCCCTGTGAGAAGCTTCTCGACGCTCCCCCAGCTCCACGTCAGCTCCACTTCTGTTTGGGAAATTGAGCCAATTGGCTGCACCTCTGCGATAACGTATTTAGGAAGGGACGTGGTGACGGGCAGTGGGACTTGTGAGGAGGAGTTGCTGCAGCTGCATGAACACCAAGGTCAGTGGAGGAACGGAGGAGGAAAGGAGGGGGGAGGTGTGCCGGAGCAGAGACCCCCCTGTATCCTGTGGGGAGACGGCAGGGCGGCCCCCCCCTGCCACCCATGGAGATCTATGGTGGAGCAGACGCGGATTTATGGCCTGTTGCTCCTGCTCGGATAATCAAGGTTCTGTGCCCGAAGAAGGCCGGGGTCTCATGGGAAAAGGTAGCCCCGCTGCTGTAATTCAGCGCTGGGAGGATTGCAGCATGCGGGGGAGTCCCACAACGGAGCAGCTCAGGAAGGGCTGCAGCCATGGGAGGGAATCCAGTCAGAGGAAGTTAGTGACCCATGATGGAGCAGTGTGGGGAACGCTGCGGCCCATGGGAGGAATTTAAGTCGGAGAAAGTTTGTGGAGGACTGTCTCCTGTGAGAGGGGGACCACGATGGAGCAGGGGGTAACAAGTTTTGGACACTCCCCTCACCGAAGATGAAGGAAGTGGCAGCGCTGACTGCACCCCCCATTCCCTGCCCCTGCGCCACTGGGGGAGGAGGTAGAGATATCGGGAGCAGAGCTGAGCCCAGGAAGAAGGGAGGGGTGGGGGGAAGGTGTTCTCAAGATGTGGCGATGCCTCTAACTGTCCTACTCTGTTATGTGTTGTTAGTGTCTGTAGTAAATGTATGTTCCTTTTTTCTTCCCCTAATGAGTCTGCCTTTTGCTCGTGACCATAAAAGGGGGATTTTTCCCCATCCCAGTCCTATCTCGAACCCCAAGCCTGGCTCTCTGTCCCTTCTCATTGCCGGAGGGGAAGGGAGAGAGCATTGCTGCATTGTGTTTGGCTGCCAATCAGGCCTAAACCACAACAGAGATAACCTAGTAAGCCCATGAGAAATGCTGACAACTAGCATCTTTTAGTTCCTGAGCCTTCATGTTTGCACCAGGGAAACTGAACTCATACGAGCTGTTGGAAGGTCAAAGTGGGGTAAAGTGTACATCTGTGCCTTTACATTTTTGTGACTAGTACCTAGGAGGCTACAGTTTCTGGTCTTCTATAAATTTAGATTGAGATCAAACCCAGTTTTCTAATAATCTAGGACTTCATATTTTTCTGCTAACACTATGCTCGGTGGTAGCTGAGACATGCATATAAAAAAATAAGTAACTATTCTTGAAATGTTTGTGGTTTATTTTCTTTTCAGTGGAATCTGGCTGAAAATCTATTCCAGCTGTTTTCAACCAAAAAGGACAATTTGGACAGTGAAGTCTGAACAAACAGAAACTGTTTCCTTGGGCTGTGCTGCTCTACATGATAGAAAGCCTGGGTACTGGAAGAAAGAATACATCTTCAAACAAATAGCTGCTGTCAAAACTAGAGTAATGCGGCTTGTTAAACCTGTAGATCCGTGTACAGGTCTTCCATGTAAAAACAAGGAAGCTATGAAGTAAGCAATGCCTTGTCACAAAAGATGTTTACTCAAGAACAATGTACAGAATATTAATGGCTTTGGAAATGCTGGGGGGATATGGAAATGGTGCTATAAAATGCATATCATAATGGGAAAATGCAGTGATAGCCTGTAAATGACCTAGCCTGAGAAACATAAGTAGCAGTTAGTAGAAATTTAAAAATTCTGTTGGAAGCACAGTTTAAGTTTTGTCACTTTGAGAATCTTTTTTTTTTTTTTTTTTTTTTTTTTTAAACACTCTTCTTCCCTCTCAATTCCTAAATTACAGAGCCTGTGGCTTGAGTTGGATAATTGTTCTAAAGGACAAAAATGGAAAGGAACATGTAATGGAGAAGGCTAACCTATCATTTAAGGACACATCTGTTACTATACTTTGGTACAGTACAAATTGGCCATGCATAGACATCCTGTCAACCCTAAAACTATTTGGAGTTATTCCCGTGTTTCCTGACCAAAGCAGACCTGCCAGCAAGAATGGGTGAGTTTTAACATAGGATTTTTGAGGGGGTTTTTGGTGTAACTGGTTGATAATGTGTCTGTGGGTGCTATCTGACCTTAGTTTGATTTAAGTTAATTCTTTTGTGGACAGCCTCTCTGTAGTATTTCTTCCAAAGCCTATGTCCTTTTCTTCATTGGTAGAGCTTTACAGCAAGAAATAGATACAATCCAGCAAGCTATGACATTAATTCATAGGCTAATGTAGCTACTGGCATTCAAGATAAAGACTGATAGGTCCTGCCTTGGAAAGTTGAATCTAAGGCATAGGTACAAATGAGCATTAAACAAACATATAAATCTGAGAGAATTTAATGTGAGACATTTAGATTGGAACAGTTCATCACTCTTTATGTGGCTACAATTAGGTAATCTAACATTTATTTTTTTCTATCTGATAGGTGTGTTTGTGAATTTAGGGAACTTGGTGTTTGGCTGCATGTACATTATAAGTACCTGCATATTTATAAAACATAGTCCACAGCACAATGTGGAATAGTTGTTGTTTTGTAACTTGTGTGTACAATATTTTTCTGGCATTACATTCTTGGAAAAGATGTTTAAATTAGAAGTATGTATTTGAGGTATGTATGTATTTGGTTGCTGTCAAGGCGTTTTCCACATGTCTGTCTTATATATTGTTTTAGTATATGCAGTATCAGCTACATGCTTCTTACACAAAATGCCTAGTGGTAGAGCTCTGAAAAGAGAATTGTTATTCACTTACAAAAACCATGGCTCCTCAAGCAGAAGTAAAGTATTTGCCTAAAAAAAATCATCAAGAGAAGCCTTTTGTTTAAAGTCAGCTAAACAAGTCTTGCAGTCAAATTATATGGGAAATACAGTTGTTTTACCAAGATGATGATACATATGTAGAAAATAGTAACAGAAAATTTCAGACAGGTAATGTATTTATTTCACAGAATCCTAAGTTGTTAGAGCTTGTGAATATACATGAAAGTAATCGTTCCACAAATATCAGACTGTTACTCAGAATGTTAAGACTGTAAGGAGCTAGTGCAGGAACTTTGGGAAAGTCCCTGTATTTATACCAGCCTGACTGACTTAAAGATGGAAAGGGTTGATGTCCCATCCCTGCCCCAAATCTTACAGTTCAAGGTAATGTGACAAAGTTCTTGTTGGTTCCTGCCTTCCTAATAGTGTGTAGTGGAAGGTGGTACTACTGTGATACTCTGTTGGGAAATCTAGGAACAGTTTTGAATATAAGAGTCTAGGTCTGTGAAGGGTTTTAGAAAGAGTTATTTCTCAACTCTGAATAGGTAACACAGACTCCATTTTCTGCTTTTTTACACATCACCAGCCAATAAGAATGCCTGTGAAGTATGAACTTTAGTTAAAGGGTGTATGAAGTGAAATCTCTTTAATTACAGGCAAAATCTAGACATAATTTTCTAAAAAAGGAAAGATTCCTCTAGCAGAAGCTTTTAATTTATTATATGTATGGTTTTAGCCTTTCCTTGGAATTTTACTTCTGTGGAGGAAGAATTTATCTTCTTAGTAGCTTGCTTCATTCTGGCAAATGTTCAGTGATTCCATCTAGTACCAACATAGTATTAAAAGCAAATTATAAAGTAATTCTGTGGCTATTTTGAAATACTGGGCAAGCATGTAAGTTTTTCTTCTTTAAGTAGCTTATTAGGCCATCCTATGGGACTTTTGTTCCTTTTTGTTGTTAGGTGTTGACATCCTGCTAGTATGCTGTAGTTGTTCAGAAGTAGTTTGTGGTTGTGCATGCTGAACGCTTTCAAAACTGTTTTCATCATGTGCTGTTGGTCAGACTTCAGAGTTAAAAATGAAATTAGGCTGAACTTTTACCTAAATAAGGAGACATAGTCTTGTTGCTACATTTTGTATATTCTTTTTAAAGACCTCATCGACGTTCTTTAATTGCTGAATACTGTCTTGCTAACCTGACTGAAAGTAGTGCAGCAGTTGGTGCTGATAAGCTTGTCCAGCTCTTCAGTCTGAATCCAGGACTCTTAGTAGGACTTTGGAAGGTAAGATAACGTTTTGTTTCAATACTTTATTATGACTTGAAGAAAAAGATTTTTCTGTCTTGTGGTTTGGGATTTTGGGAGTTTTTTCAGGTTCTTTTGTTGTTTAATTTTTTTTCCATCTTCCTTTTTTTTTTTGTTGGATTTTAAAAGAGCTTGTCTGGCCTAACAAGGAAATACAGGTAGGGACAGCTAGTTGATGATTTATTGCATTCTGAAGAGCTGTTGCAGGAGTGTCTGTACTTTTAAAAAAAAATCCACCTCTAATTAAAAGAACAATTATGTATCACAGTACATTAGATACTGTACTGATCTTATTTCTGTGTTCAATTGCATTTAATTTGCAGTCTTCACATGCCAAACTTTGATATCCTAAAGACATTTTAAATAGAATGGTTTGAGGAGAGATGTGCTTTTTCCCCTGAGTCATGCCTTGCCCTGTCCCCATCACTCAAAGTGATGAATTCCCACAAGGGATCTTTGCTAGTTGTTTCCTTTAATCCACATCACCAGGTAGTCGTACCATGCTCCAGCAGTAGGAATGCTGTAAATCGTGGCCTTTTGGGGATACTGAATTCTTAGTATTGAGTGTCTAGGTTAAGAGGGGTTAGTCTCTGTAGGCTGTGCATAGAGATCCATGTCTTTAGAGAGCAGTGCGGAACATCTGAAGTAGACTTCTACTGTAAAGGAATCTGTATTTTTGCACCGAATACACTGGGACCTAGGTGTCTGCCTGAAGTTGCATATGGTCAGGTGCTATGGAAGCCTATCTCAGGTGTTCTGCTCTTGGACTGAATTCAGAAGTATCAGCCCCTTCTTCCTTCCCCAGCCATGTTAATGACGTAGACTTACCTTATTTGGCACTGGCAAGGAACTTCCCTCAGGAAGCCTGTGAACAGTTGCTCTACACTATGTCTCGTTTCCAGCTGGAAATTCTTGCTACCTCAAATGTGCACAATCACCAGAAGAATTGTTTAAAACCACAGAGGGAATATTTGCTTCACTCTTACTTAAAGGTGTCCATTTCCTAGAAAACTTGAGACTGGCTGATCTACAGGAGCCTATTATGGGTTATCTCAGTCAATTAAAAGCTCCAATAAGTTAACAGCCATTTATTTTGTATCTTCACAAGTTTAGTAGATTGGTGTCCCTGTGACATTGTCCCTATGGTCTTGCTAGCACATTACCCCATGCCATGCTTGGAAAGAGAACTCTTTCAGCACCTGGAAACAGTTCAATCATAACTGAGTTCCACAAAGTTGTTAAGCATTGAATGTCTCGCTCCAGTAGATTTTTCCTGCTTACTTTTCTGAACAGCTGTTCTTATTCTCTGTGTGGGCAGAGTAACATTACGCAGTTAACTGTAGATGGGTGTAATAATCATAAATGCCACACATCTTGTTTTTTTTACACATATCTTAGCTGCATAGCAGAAATTGTTTATGCTAGTAGTTTTGACAACCAAGGACAGGATATGTGGGCCTTCTGGTATTTGGATACAGAAAGACTGAGAACTTTTATAGCTGTAGTTTTGCACTACAAAAGTACAGGAGTAGCTAAAAAAAAAAAAAGTTTGAATAGGGGATGTCATTTTCTATTTGGTAACTCAGAGATATGAGGACAATAATAGACTGCTAGTGGTGAATAATTTTGCTATTGATTTACGTGTTTGCATATGTAGGACTTTAAAATGCATTTTTATTTAAAACAAAACAAAAGGAGCTGAAATCTTAGAATCCTGTGCTTTTGAAGTAAATAGATACTTTTGGCTCTCTTTAGTTCTCGCACTGAGCACTGAAGTTTTCTTTGAGTTACATAGGCCTATAGAAGGCATGTTTTACCATTTTCCCAGGAGTACATAATCTGGTGAAGGCATCTGGGGGTTTTACTTTGAAATTCAATATTTCTACTGAATAGCTCTGTATTCTTCACGGATGTTAGCCCTCTTTGCATATAGTTCCTTACATATGAAAATCAGCTTGATGCTTAGGTATTTAGTAGCTGGGAGTAAGGCCTGTTTGACTCTAGGTATCTGGTTTAAAGTGGTAAGTAGAAGCTAGAGAAGTACAATTCATGGAATGCTGCTGATAACTTTTGCCCTGGCATAGCTAGTTTCCCTCCATTTCCCCATAATATAGAAATGCTGTCATCTTTTACATGTATTCTGTGCTCCTGTGAAAAGACAGCAGTTATAGGAGTCCAAGTGTTAAAGCAAGCCATTACTCTCATGACTACGGTAACTGACAGAGTAATAAGCAACAGCATTTATCTATGAATTTTAATGCTTAGGAAGACCTTGTGAAAAAATATTTCCAGATGAAAATAAGTCAACTTTAATTAACTTTTCAGGAGAAAAATGAAATTGCTTTTGTTATGGCGAGTCTTCATTATCATCAACTTCTTGAGAGAAGCACTTTGGGTTCTGCTACTGTGTAAGTTTTGGTTTCTCCTTTGCGGGTAATAAAGATAATCTTTTGAATAAAGCACTGAGTTTTGCAGTTAAAATTGGCTGCTTGTAAGAGGTTTATACTTAGGCACTAATTAACTATTCTTGTTTAATTTAACCAACAGTTCTGGTAACTATATACAAAGCTGTAGAAGTAGTTTCATACTAAAATGTTGCCATTGTTACGCTATTAAGGAGATAATTTAGTCATAAGTGTACTAGTACTTGCTGTATTGAGAAAGTTAGAAATACATTGCCCATACTTTCTCCCTTTTCAGAAGCAGTCATTTTATTCCTACTTCTGTCTGAAAGACCTAGAAAAGAGGGAGACATTTTAGAAAGTAGAAGAATAATCTTTAGCTGTGCAAGAGGGGAGAAAAAAATTCTAATAAACTCGTAAGGTGCCTGCGTTTATCATTAAGTCCTATTGAAAAATGAGCTGGATTTCCTATGAAGTATTTGTGTATATGTGTATATTTCAGTGTATGATATAATACCTGTTTATACACTATAAACTGTTTTAAAAGATGGAGTTTTTTAGCTTTAGAGGATGATTTGAGGGATTTATTTCTCCTCAGCCCACCCCTCAGCTTTCTGCTCAGATACTGTTGTATCTACTGATAGCATTCTGTGCCCTCTATAACTTAGTATGACTCTTTTCACACAGGAGGTGAAGAGTTAACACCATCTCCCTTACTGTCAGATAGGATCCTATGTAGGAGCTGCTCTGTTGCCTCTGGGATTTGGGCTTTTCTGGTCATTTGTGTGCAGTAGTTTCTTGTTTAGGTTAGGCACAGACAAAATTATTCAGTAACTGCTATTCCAGAGAAGTCTGTAGCTAGTTGGCTTTTAGATTTTTAGTTAAGCTGTTGCATTTTTTTTTGTGTAAACAAGTCCCTATTTTGGAGTTTAACAGATGTACCTTTTAAAGTTGACTGCCATATTTTCTGCCTTTGGTTGGGCCGTACAGCTGATTAGAAGTATTAGACACTGTATTAGCTTAAAGGAAGTATGATGAACTAGAGAAGTTTGATTTTCAAAAGCATTAATAATAAAGAAGAAAATATAACTTTTCTAAGAAGAAATTTTTTCCCCCTCATATAACCTTTCCTAAGATGATCGTCTCAGTGTAGGGCTATTTACTGTATCTCTTTCTATTAAGTCATTCCCCCTTGCTTAATTCAATTGTTACTATTTTCTTAAAGTCAATATACCCTTCCGCCTCATAAACCTGTATTGGATGATGTTGACCCAGAATATGGACTGCACGACTACAACCTACATCTTGATATGCACAGTGGGAGCTGTGCCTACCTGTGTGGAACTTTCAAGGGCCTCTTCTGCAGAAAAGGTAGAGTTGACAGAACAGTAATGTCTTCTTTTAAAATGATCCCTGCTGTTTCATTTTCCCTCTTATATGCAATATCTCTGTTTTAAGGTGAGAAACTCAAATGGATTTTTAAGAGTAAGCTCTCTTTCTTTTGTGTGATTTCTTCATATCTGCATGGTGTGTTGTGTGGTGTCATAAACTTGCTCTGTATGAAGCCTGCCTGCTATTGTGCTGACATACTGTCAGGCCTGAGATGTAAGTTCTGCGGATTGTCAGGATATTTTCATTTGGCTCAGTGCTGAGTTAATAAAGCAGTGGCACACCTTTTGGTGCAGGTTTATGTTTCTTCCACTTGTATCTATAAGGGAGAGTGAGTTTGTCCTCACACATTTTGGAGACCTGTTTCTGTAGATTTCTTCTCAAGTATACTTTAGGTGTATTGGCAGGTTAAACATTTAAATATATTTGTGGAATATACTGTGAAGTTTAAGATTGATAGCTTTTATTTAGTTCAATATAAGGTTGCCTATTCAGACATCATTTCATTGTGTGATAAAGAATTTCAGTGATTGTTTTGAACTGTGCTGCTTTTTTTTTTAAGTTCTTAGCATTTATTTTAATGAGATGTGACTGACTATCCTTGTTATTCATGTATAGCCCAATTTAATAATTCTACTAGGGTTTTGCAAAATACATAGGTGATCTCTCTGTTGACTTAACTTCAACACAGTCCTGCCTACAGCTACACAACTGTCTTTCTGCCAGCAGAGACAGATTAAAATATTAAACTTAAAATTAAACAATTAAAATTAAGTACTGTAAATTAATTATTGCTCCCCAGTATTGTTGTGATAACAGTACTAATGAGCCTTCTGTTGATTTCAGAAAATACTGTTTTCGATGAAGACAGTAGAGGGCACTGTTATCAGGCTTGAGTGGTTTTAGTGTTAGAATAAATTTCCTCATGACTTTTTTTTTTTTTTTAAATTTGTATTTGATGACTCCAAGAAAAGTAATTTAGACTGTAGCCTTATTCACAGTGTGGATGGAGTGTTGTAGTCCTTTGAATTTGAAACATACATGGGTTTAGATTCCTGAAAATCTCCAAGCTTGAAATAAAGGAATACTTATAAGGGTAAAAAATCAGTGAAATGTTATGCATGCAGCAATAGAAATCTTTCCAGAGGTGTAATTCTCTACCCTCATAAAAAAATTATTTTGTAAATTGGCCAGATGGTATTTTTGTTTGTTTGTTTTTAGGTGAATGTCATGTTTTGTTTTCTAAAATAAGAATTCTATCCTAACAATACAGCTGTACAAGAGAAAGCAGTATGTGGCACATTTTCTTTGTTGGTATCACTTGTTTGCTGCTTAGAAGCTAGTTCTGGTAAAGATTAAGTTGATGTTTATGCAAATTGTAACAAATGTCCAGGAGCTACAGTTGTGTTTTATGATCATGAGTGTTTTCTGAACTCTTTTGGTTTTGTGTCCTTCAGCTGTGTGACAGCAGCTAGATTCTGCTCTCACAGCACATCAGCCAGCTGAAGCCATGGTTCTGCAGGCTATAAGCTCATTTGTCATCTAGTTCCTTCCATGTACTCGCACAATAATTCCTTTTGGAAAATGTTTGATTTCCTCCATAATTTGTGTTCAGAAATGATGTAGTGAGGCATCTTATGGCTGTCTGCTGTCACATATCTTCACAGTAATTTGTTGTTCACTTTGCTCCTTCTGGTAAACATGGGGTTTCTGAATATGGCCAACAATGTATGTTTGTCCAAGCTGGTTATACTTGATGGTCTGCGCTTTGTTTTTAGGCTCCATTCTAATGATACTCTTTGTCCCATTCTCTGGGCGGGCTCTAAAGCATGGAGGTCTCCGACATAGCGAGAGATCTTGATATTTCTTAAAATTCTCTACCCAATCCAGATTTATTTTAAATTGAGGATGTGACATGCCAATGGTAGTTTCCACAACCAGAGACACAGATTAGTTGTCAGCTATTATACTGGGGGTTTTACTTCTTTATTTGCATCCATTAGAAAGCTGTAGACACTCCTAGGTTATCAGGGAATGCCCATTTGTTATTCTGCAGAATAACTGATTTATTTGTTCACGTTTAGTTTTATTTTTGTGTGTTTTTTTGTTAGTGTTCATTAATGTTGTGCTTCATTTTGCTGCTCTATTTTAAATTCTTTCTGCAAAATTCTTAACGTTAAATTAAAAAAGCTATATGACACTTCATTGAGCCAAGTGGATGGAGTATATGTGGCTTCAGATCTTTCTTCTCTTATTAATACTTGCATTGCAGTAACTAGCTGTTTTGCCACTGTTCTGGCTGTTTTTTTATCATTTTATTTTATGCTACCTTCCATTTAAACAGAATTGGTAATATGGTCTTGTTGACAGATACTGTAGGGTGAATGTGCTAAATATTTTCAAATTGAATTGAAAGTATTAGAAAACTTTTCTTTTTTTCAGGAAGCTGTGACAGGCTTTTCATATGACTCGATAGAAGCCATGAATACTCTATCTAGCTTTTTAATAAACATTCTTGAAATGTATTTACCTAGGTTTTCAACTTTTTAAGCATAGCTTTGTAGCCATATGGTAGCCTAAGCTTTGGCTTTTTGGTGTTATTCCTTGTTGATGTAAGTTGATGTGTTGTGCCTGCAAAATGTAATGGGATGGTATTTGTGTGTTTGGAGAGCTTTTAAGATTTGTTAGTAAACGTTTGAAATGCCTGATGTGATGCTTTTGCCTGACCTTGAAGACTGGTTTGCAAGTTTAAATGACCATTTCAGCATGGTAAGGCTGGTTGTTGCCAGCAAAATTAATGTTAAGAACAGCCTTCCCTGTGAAAATAACAGTCAAATTACAACTTGCAACAAAGGCTTGGTTTGCACAACAAACTTGCTTGACTTTTAGCTAAAATAAGTGCTTTTGAACTACTGGGCTATTTGTTTCTTTCCCTTGAGGTTTGTCTACATGATATATGTTCTCTATATTGGTATTATCTTTATTTGTAAATATTTGTTCCCTATAACCTATACTGATTAAAGGGCTGCTTTGCTGCTATATGTGTCTTGCATAAACTCTAGACTGTAGATATTATAAAGGAACAATGAAATGAATTCTAGACCAGGCTGAAGAAAGCCCTGTCCAATTTGCTTTCGCTGTGTTTCCTTTGTTATGTTTAACATAGTTTGCCCTGCCCTTATCTCCACTGACTGGGATGAGGAAGAGGAGATTTCAGTATTTAGCATTTAGGCTTCTTGCTAATTTCTAGGCATACTTTTTTTTTTTTTTTTTTTTTTTTCTGGATATGAGGACTGCAATGGAGCTTTTATATATATTAAAAAAAAAAAAAAAAAAGACTGGATTAACTAACCCGTGAATGATTAGCCTTCAGATTCCTGATACGTGTCACCTATTTCATTCTGGTTTAAAGTTAAGAAGTAACTGCAGTAGGGGATGTATGACTTACACCTTAGCCAGGTGACCCATCTAGCAATGCAGCAGTTCATGTTATTAATGCCATGCAATAACAGTGATGTCCTGGACTTCATAAATATATTAGCAGTATGCTTTTTTTCAATCTGTTTTTATTCCATTAAAATTTTCCTTTGGTTTGAATGAGTGAGAGGAATAGCTGCTTCCATTCAAATCTGAACTGCAGATAACTGAATAGTCCTTTGGAAAAAGTGCTTGTTGACTGATGTTGTTTAAAGTCTCTTGTGTAAAAGCTTTAAATGTGGGCTTCCAGCATCCACTCGGTAAAGCTTGACTATTTATCTAAAATACTTTTATTGTGAATGAAATCTTGTCATTTGTATTTGATTTACTGAGGTTTGGAACAGAACCGTTTGGGTAGATATAAACTTAATAGCCTTTTTTGCACTTTGAGCTGGATCCTGAAAGTGAATTCTGCTTACATTTTCCTCACTGAGTTCTCTGGGACTTCACTGCAAAGACAGTGGGTATCACTGTCGGAGTGATGCATTTTCCTTCAATCACACAAAATATTTCCAGGGTGTAGTCATGTTGGTTTCACTGTATTCATACTCCTATTCCAGACAGTGTCTGTACTGAAAAACCTACTGTTTCTGTCCTCTGTCATGTGTTTGGCTGCTGCTTTCTCCACACAGTAAGTATTCTTTGGACTTCCTGCTTGAGTGATGTTTTTCCAGCATTGGTTTGCAGCCAGGCATCTCTTGGGAGTTGCCTGACTCCACAGTACCAACTCAGAGAAGTTTCTGGCTTCTCTGTTAAACTGTGGGGTCTCTTTCTCTGTCACTTGGCCCACAGCTGTCTGCCTGCAGCAGCCACCAGGCAAAGGTGCTTGCTGCTCTTTCACAAAGGCTTTAGCTTTTTAACTCAAAGCCAGCCTTTCTGATGTCGCTTCTTCTGTCAGCCTCATGCTGCTACTTGAGCTTGACTGAAGAACCACCACAGGAAAAACACTTCCCTCTTTTTTCATCTTTGCCACTTGCATCTTAAACCTATACAATACCCTTCAGTTATCATTTTACCATCTAGGGTTTGTTACTGGATCCTGACAAGCAGTATTTTCCTGGGAATTCCTTTTCTCCTTTCCTGTCTGTCTCCTGTCGATGCTAGATACTTAGTTCTGTTCCCTTTTTTTTTTCCTTTGTTTTTTTCTTTGAGGTCTCGTGTGCTTTTATTTGCTCTAAGAGAGTACCTCTTGTTCAAGGAAATTTGCCTAAGGAGTGTCGTACTAAGAAATCTGCTTGTGTTATGATGTGATGCATTTTTTTTTTTTGTAGTCGGAGATCTTATTTGTTATGATGTACTCCAATTATAATTAGACTGTTGGACTTCCAGGTTAACTTTCATCCTCCAATAACAAGGGTAAAAAGAACAATTAAAAAAAGTTGATGTCTGCTGGGGGGAGAGGAAGGCAGACCGAAGAAATATGGTTATGTGTAGTAATAAAATTAAAAAAAAAAAAAAAGCACAAAGAAATCTTAATAATTCTGTCAGAAAATAAAAGCCTTTGGAAAGCTATTTAAAAAATGAACAAATCCATAATTTAAAGACTTGATGCAAATCAAGGCATACTGCTTGTCAGTTTAAATGCAATATATTTTACAGGGAGGACTGATAGTCATCCTTAGACCCCGTTGCATAGGAATATTGTCCTGGTTTGGGCTGAAATAGAGTTCCTGTTTGTTTTAGTAGCTGGAGGAGTGCTGCAGCACAGAGACCCCAGGGGCTCCCCAGGTCCCAGTGCCCTCACCTGTGTGCGGGGGCGGGGGGAGCACAGCTGGAGGGCTGGGCCCCGATTGGCCGATATCCCGTGTCATGTGACACTGTGCTCACTATATAAAGGCGGGAGTGGGCCGGGAGGGGCTCCCACTTCTGGGAGTGTGGCTGTGGTGCCTTTGTGTTGGGGATCCCCAGCTGGGAGCAGGCGGGTGTCGGTCTGTGGGAGGTGAGCAGCTGTATTGTACGTTACCCGCTGATCCTGCTGTCAGCGTGTTGTTCTGTTACTGTTATTAAACTGTTTTTATCTCAACCCGCGAGTCTCCCTTTGCCCCTCCGATTCCCTCCCCGTTCCCAAGTGGGGGCGAGGGTGGGTGAGCGGCTGCGTGGTGTTTAGCTGCTGAGCAGGCTCAAACCACAACAAATATTTAAGTTACCAGACAGAGCAGAGAGATTTGGGAAAAAAAAAAAGGCAAGGGGGAGGTATCTCATAATTTCTTTCCTGTGTTATGTGTTGAGCTTGACTTTTGGGGAGTGGGCAGTGATGAAGCCACTGGTGGCATGAAATTGAAATATTGAACGTGGAAGTTGCTCCTTGCATCCTTGTGTAAGTCCTGTAGGTGGCATTCAGATTTTTATACTCAAATATACCAATGTTTTTTTTTATCTGCTGCTTCTACTGTGGATCACAAAATTAAAGCCCCGAACTGTGACTTAAATTCTCTGTAATATGCTTGATATCTAGCTGTTGGTGTATGTCAGGGTTCCTTATTGGTGAGCAGGAGGAAACTAGAGAACATTTACAGTGTACTTGGGCTTAGTTTGATTTGTAGGAGTATAATGTTATATATTGTCAATATTTTCAGGTGACATTGCAAATGGGTATTTGAGGCTCACAGTTGTAAGCATAGAGGATAGTATGAAGCACTTGCCTCTTACTGGAAGACTTGGCTTATCCTGGAAAACAGATGTGTTTAAAGGCAATGTAAAGGTCAGTCAGAAATATTTTTTGTTTCTGGAAATGCTTATCTCAAAACTGAATTATATTTATGCATCTTAAGTATGATAATTTGAAAAAAAAAAAAACCAAGTTTTTATTTGTGGAAGGTGTCTGTAGCTAGAAAATAATCTCAATTCAGATATTACAAAAGTGATATGAATTTTGAGGAAAAAAAGTTCTACCCTTTTTCTCCTAGAGTCTAGATTACATGATAGACCCATTATGCATGTGTGATGACTCCAGTGCTTTCTGCTCAGCAAACATATTGTGACTGACCAGCACTGCTTGGAAATGCTGGACAAAAAATGCACTGCAGATGTGAGGGGTTTTGGTTTTTGTTTTTGTTTTTTTTTTTTTTTTCAGGTAATAAGTCTTGAACCCCTGGAAATATGAAATACTCTGCAGTTCTGTTGTAGCATGTATGTGTGATGAAATTCAGAAACTGTTGGAAAATGTTAAAATGCCAATGGACACGGGCAGAAACTACAGTCCACATTCATGCAGTCAGCAGCTAGCTCTTGAGTCATGTAAATGGGTCAGCTGGATTAACTGTGTTTTAGAGGAATTCTCACTTGTTCTCTTATATATAATTCCTAAAAGAATGATTTTAAAGAAAATCTGGGAGTCGTTCTGTAGATCTTGCAATAGTGGTGAACGCGTATTTTTAAATGTACTTCAGCTGCATGAATATTTCAGAAGTACCAAAAATTCTGATATACGTCACCTAAGCACCACTGAAAAATGATCTGGTTCAACGTTTGATTTCAATTTTGGCACTTATATTGAAAAAAGGAAAAATTATTAAAACTTGTTCCTGCTAATCCTCCATAAGCATGAAATGGAGTACTGTTTGATAATATTTTGCTCATAGACATTCACATATTTGTTTTTTACTTTATAGTGTCAGCCGATTTTTCTATGCAATGAGGAATATAAAATTTATCTTAAAATTTAGTAATCTACTGGTACCTGTTGGGAACATCAACTACAGTTGAGCTTGAATTACAGTTTCTATTCAGTCCTCCCTCTCTAATTGCTGATAGCATTTTTTTTTTCTTCAAATTCCTTGTTTGCATACTGACCAGTTTGTTCACTTGCATTTTTTTCTCAGTTTGTGCTAAACTTTATTGAGTTGGGCTTTTGTTTTCAGAAGAACAACAAATCCTTCCCCTATGTGTTTTAATAAAAAATACTGCATGTTGGTAATGAGAAGGAATTTAAGCTAAACGGAAAATGCTTTTAGGGCAATTGTTTACCATCTTTTTTTAATTGCCGTGAATGTTAATTGAGAACCATAATGCAGAATAGGTGCTTTTTTGAAGCTTCTGAAAAATTTTAAACTTGAATTAGTTTGTTTTATAATTTTAATTTTATTTTTATTGTGTATCCCACTAAATTCCTTAGAACTATTTGCATGGTTAAAGTTAGTGGGGTCTTAGCACATAATTACAGAATAAGCTTCATTTGCTTGAAAAGCATATGGTGTGAGGTAGGAAATCTTGCTGCTCTGTTGGACAGATATCAGAAAATTAAGGTTCCAGTGAGACCTTATTGTGGCCTTTCAATATATAAAGGGAGCTTATGAGAAAGACTGACGGAGACTTTTTACCAAGGCTTGTAGTGACAGGACAAGGGACAACAGTTTTAAATGGAAAGAGGGTAGATTAAAATTGGATATTAGGAAGAATATTTTTTTTTTATGATGAGGGAAGTGAGGCACTGGCCCAGGGTGCCCAGAGCAGCTGTGGCTGCCCCCTCCCTGGAAGGGTTCAAGGCCAGGTTGGACAGGGCTGGGAGCCCCCTGGGCTGGGGGAAGGGGGCCCTGCCCGGGGCAGGGGGGGTGGAACGAGGTGATCTTTAAGGTCCCTTCCAACCCAAAATATTCTATGATTCTACATTATTTGCAGCTGCTTGGCAGAATTTTTGATTCCATGAAAATAATCATGAGTACCACATAAAAATCTGGGAAATTAACTGTCAGAGGAAACAGAGATATGGCTCTAGTCTTTAGTGTAGCTCTGTTTTATGTGCTTACAGGGTAAGTTGTACTGAATATTTGTTTCTAGGAAAAAATAAATAATAACAATTTTTGTTTTAAACCCCTCATTTTGTGGTGAGAGATTGCACATGTCAACACATAGCTGTGGGTAGAATTCAATTTGGCTTTTAACATAAATCTCTCAAACTTTTAAAACATATGAAGGCCAAATGAAATTAGCCATAGCAGCTGAACCCACCACTACTTTGAATTTATTTTAATTTTGTCCAATACTCTAAGGAAGAAGGGCTTTTTTTTAGTAATTATGGGGTTTTTAATAAAAAATTAATTGCTGAAGTACAGATAGTTGGAAATACATGGAAAAAAAAAAAAAACAAAAAAACTAACACTCAAGGCCACCCTGCTTTATTTCTCTTAATTGGCCTTTGATGAAAGGTATCAGACCAGAAAATAGCAATTCTTTCTTGTTTCAAGTAAATCTATAGCTTGTATAAGTTATTAAATGATCATCAGATTTGGTTTCAATTTTGTATTTTCAGCAGAGTCTACACTAACAAATTCAGTTTATGCCATATGCTCTGTATTGTTTAACTGAAGTACAGTAACAGTGAAAGAAATGCTATAAGCAATGGAAGCACAACTATGTATCGTTCTAAGTTAATTGGCAAGGAATAGGTGATGTTGGTTTGTTTATGCTTTTGAAGCATATGATACTTCTGGAAGTAATGCATATATAGAGCATAATTAAGATAATCTGATTCATTTAGTGATTCAGAACTCATGAGAATAGGTAACAGCTGATATTAACAATGACACATAACGTATATGCTTTTAAGGCATGTGTGAAGGCATCAGTTTGCAAGTGCCCTAGAATTCGTATCCTGCCTTTGGCATTATAAAATGATGTGTAGCGTTGTAAAGAAATATTTTCAAGAATTTTTAAAAGCAAGATTTATTTGGAGGGTAGAAAGATATATTAATATTACCTTTATAGGAATTGAAGCTTGCAGTCATTCAAAAAGTACTGTATACCTTTAATTTATAGCTGCCATATGAGGTTAATTGTGTGTGTACACTGCCTTGAGAGTAGTCTCTTTGGGTATCTTTGCAAACATTGCTGCATTCACACAAGTTAGCACCTGAGTTCAAACTTAAGTTTCTTTCTCATATTTAAAGGGCTATCGTTACTTAAATAGTAAGGTAACTAATAGCTGAGAAACACAGACGTTAAAGGCTTAAAAAAATGTTCAAGAAATATTGTCAGGTTTAGGTTGATTACCTTCTGTAGTACAGTTTTTGATGTCTGTAGGCTGCAATTCAGATTCCTGTAGGAAAGCTCTAAATACTCATTTGTTGCTTTGCAGTAGTCAGTGCAGCACTATCAATTATATTTTGAGTTTTTAGCCTTCATACACCAAATTGCTCTCTGAACCCTTGATATTTCTCCTGAAATCAGGGACAGGTCTACTTACTATGCCATGGCACAGGGAAATAATCTCTTCTGCTTCTGTTTGTAGGACTGCTATGTGATGGACGTTACTCTCTTGGATGAAACTGGAAAGCCCTTCTGGTGTTTCAGTGCCCCAGTCCACATGGAACTGTCCTCCAAGGCATCCTGCCTTTTTGACTATATGGGTCATACCTATACCACAGATTATGCAGATTCAGAGGGTAAAGTCAGTGTTGAATTGGTATGGTTGGAAGAAACCAAGGAGTATTTTATAGTCAATTTGGTGCTTTATATAAGCACCAAAAAGGTAAATAACTGGTATGGAACAAATTATTGACTTAATTAGGTCACTAATTTCCTTGCTTAAAAAAAAAAAAAGGCAAAAAACACACTAAACTTTTGATGTTTAAAATTTATAGCAATGAATAAGACTGTTCCTGCAAGTTTTTCGTTAACAAGTGCAATTGCATATTTTTTTTTTTTTTAATTGGCATTGGAGAGATTGAAGAGACATATTGATATAAATGAATTTTTTTCTTCTCTGTTGAACATCACTTGGTTAGTCTGTTTCTGGTACTGGGTATATTGAAATTATTTTCAGGAATATTTTTCTGTATACATACTTGTTACTATGGCTTACGGTTAACAAATTACTTCTTGTGAGAGCCATACTGTGAAGATGCCTTACCTTATGTAAGCTACACTGTTTTTGAGAACATTGACTTTTATGCCTAGTAGTAAAACAGCGTGTGTGCTGTTCCATTCAGATTTGTTAGAGGGTTATTGGTAAATAATAGCTTTTGACAGGTTTTGTTAAATACAGAAATACTTCTTTTTTTCAGAAAATACTTCACTTGAATCCTAGTAGAGGATTTAAAAGGTAGACAGGAAGTCACACATCTGAACAATATGGCAGTTAAGGCATTTGTTAAGAAAATCACATATAATATCTATTGTGAGATTTCTTTAAATTTCTGTTTGCTCTGTTTTCCCATATTTAACCTTCTGTCTGAGTCTAGATACTTGCCTCACGTATTGGCCTATGAATAAGCGTCCCAATTATCAGCACAGCTGAGTTCATATCTGCTCATAAGGTACTTAACATTCAGTTGGTTTGGAAACAGTGCATATATGATACTGCTTATCTAACATTAAATATTCATATAAAAATTGAATGTTTGTGCCTGATCTTTCAGATTCCTTGAAGTAACTTTAGGACTAAATCTTCTACTCCCTGTATAAAAAATAAAATAAAATGACATGAGATTGGGACTCCAGTGTCATTACATAGCATGTTATAAGTCATAGTATATTGTTGAGTTCTGTGACTTTATTATGATAGTGATTTCCTTAAAAATAATTCCTCTCTTTATTCATTTAAGTACATTAATTGGTTCATTCAAGCAATGTTTATGTGTAAACACTTGTGCTCTATACTACAGAGACAGTAGAAGATCTATACTGCAGTGGTAGGGTTGTTTCTTAAAGTAAATGTCAAAGATAATACAATTAAGGCTGATTCAGTTCTAGTTTGACTTGTATAACCTTGCCTAATGAAGAAACCGAAACATTTCTGTGTTTGGTGGTTAGCCAGTGCAACAAGCATGATCAGATGCATTCTGTCTCCTTTCTTACTGACTGCTGATGGTGACTGTGATTCATTGAAGTAATATCAATATTTTAACAAGTGGACTGGGTGTGATGAATATCTGAAATTCATGCTGCACAGGCAAGTGGCCAGTCAAGATTTTGTTTTGCCTGAAGTTAGACTTTGAGGCACCACCTTTAGCAAGGAAACGGTAGCTCAGTCCCAAAGTACTCTGTCGGCCTCACTGCTAAGCCTGTAAACAAAGGTGTAGAATTATTCTGGCTGCACTGATCCTCTGAGATGTGCAAGTGTGTTCTCTGATCTGCTGTGAAGCTGCCGAAGTCAACTCCCATTTCCTCAACTCCCATTTCCTCAACTCCCATCTTCCTTTCTTTCTGTAAGTGACGACATACACTGAACCTCCACAAAGAAAAAGGGTGACATTAGGTAACTGCACTGGCCCTTTTCATGAAAGAAAATATATGTTCCAAAAAACTACGTGTTTTGATAAAATCTTCAGCTAATCTTTTGCTAAGTCCCTTTTTCTATACCTGGTGCAAGCGGCAGTAGGATGAGTTGCATGTCCCACTTTGCAATAAAAGATTCTTGCTATATAAAAGACAGTTGTTAGAACAGAGAGGAAGAATGGAAGCACAAGTTGAAATCCTGTCATCAAACTACACAACTGGTCATGACACTGTCTTACATGACATTTTTCTCTTAATGCCTCAGGATTTCTTGCAACTGCTTTTAATGATTCTCTTAGTGTTCCATGCTGAAGACAGGACAGTGTCTTTGTTGTTATTGCATTGTTTATCCAAGTAGTCAGACAATTTCTGTGAGAGAAAGTATAAGCACTTATAAGTGGAAAAAAATGTAAAAGTTAAAGATTTTACTTGTATTTGTGTGTGCTTCAGGGACCAACTCATCCAAGTAAAAAGAGTAACCACCACCAACTTTTACATGTGTATGTTTAAGTACTCTGCAACAAATACAACTGTTATTTTTTAAAGGGCAATTTACCTGGTAGGCAAGCATAAAAACAGTACTTATGTTTATTTTATTGCAAGTATAATAGTCTTCATTTAACATAATGAGTTTAAATTGCATTGAAAAGGAATCAGTTAGTATAAAAGAGTGATTTAATGAAAGAGCTTTTATGAGATTATTTCAATAGTGGAAGAGTTTTCTTTTTGATAGAACTACATCTAAATGTTAATCCTGTCATTTGTCAATGTTTTGCCAGATGTCGGCTGTGTACCTAAGTGCTTCCATATTCTGTATTCTTGACTTTCCCTTTTTTTTTTCTTTTTGAAAGAGGTATTTGTAAATGGAAAATGTCTTCAATGAACAATTCATTAATATTCTTGGGCACTTAATGTGATCTTCGATTGATACAAGTTGGAACTGTGTTGGTTTATATCATCTGAGGAATTGTCTTTAATACTGCCACTCTGGAATTGTTGCTCTTTACTGTGGTTGCCTTACTTTAGTGGGGAACTAATAGCATATATATATTTCTGAAGTAATGTAGGGTAGTAATCACAGTATTTTTCTTCAGACTGGCCTTTCAGTTCTGGGTTTTCTTCCCATCTTTTTGCAATTGCTATTAGAGAACCAGCTCTGCTTTCATAATGCATTTCTGCTCCAATGTGCTTTTGTGACATGTGATTGAATACAGAAATCAGTTGTATGGTGGATAGCCTGATCACAGATTTTTTTTTTTTTTTTTTTTTTTTTACTGCCTGGCTTCTCTTCTACTACTTAGCATATTTTGATTTGCATTAATCCATTAGATCTTTAGGTATGGTCTTGATTTCATTAAAACTGTTCTCATTATCTTATGCTTGCTTTTTGAGACGAGGTCTGTCTCTTTTTATTCGTCTACATGGCTATCTGATGCTAGTGATTGAGTACTTAGCAAAAAGATATCTATAGTATAATAAGGATACCATGAGCTGAAATGGATTAATACTCTTTCAGATTAAGGATCTAGACAAGTGAGCAAGTTGTGTGTTTCAGGTATATCTTAATATGTTACCATCCAGCAACAGTCATGTAGTAGCCGACCTTGTATGTACCAGATGTTCCAACACGTTCAAACAATTACAAGGAGATTTAGGTAAAAGCATTTGCTCTTTTGCCTGTCTGGCATATTACTACAGCTCAGCTGATACAGTGACTCACTAATTTGTGATAACTGAATCTGAGCTCAAATATAACTGCATTAGAAACTGCACAGATAAAATAGTGTTTCGAGGAATTAAAATGAGAAGAAGTGATGGGTTTTAATCTCTGCTTGTGTGTATTGGGTTGGAAGGACATTAATGTGAAAAGTTAAATCCTGTCATTGTTTTCTGTCTCTTGCTTCCACCATAAATCAGAATGGGAAATGGTGGCAACAAAGATAAATAGTGAGTTGTGTGTTGGTGAGGAAAGATTTTTTTTGTACTGAATGTCAAAGCATTGCTTATTCTTTACTTAAAATTTTAAACCATTTAGGTGTCCTCATGCTGTGCCTCTTTTGAAATATCAATGAAAAAAGAGTAATACTACTTTGTATATGTGCTACTTCAGTTGTAGAAGTGTTTATAATAAAGTTAAAAACTGTAAGGTTTTTAAACCTAGAAAGAATAACTCCCATTTTAGTTTTCTTTGGTGTGTTTAAGTTGTTTAGCTCCAGAAGAGAGATGAATCTTTTGTAGGCAAATGCACTTATGAGTCAGGTGCTGATCATATATTAGTAGGTAGAATTACTTTTTTTGTGCATGCAGACCACTTGGAATGCATGTTAACATTTTTTTCTCTCCTGAATCAGTCATGCACAAAGTTAAATTCAGCTGTCTTGATGAAATCTTATATATAAAAAAAAAAAATCAAGGAAGGGAAGAATGTGTAATAGCTAGGTAATGTCCTATTTATTCACTGAAATACCATAAATCATTTTAGTCTGCAGGGATTGGAATGTGTTGAACTATTAAATAAAACACCCATCACCAAACCCCTCAAGCTAAGGCAAATACTTAGCTTATCAGAGTTCAGTATCATCAGTATTTCTTCCGTACCAAAGACAAAAAATACATTTTTACAAATAAAACCTCTTGGTGTTCAGAAAAATCTGAAAACAATGAGTAAAGATAAAAAATACATATTTAGAAATATACCGAAAACTCTCACCATTCAGAAAAATCTGGAAATAATTAATAAAATCAGTATTCTTATTTGTGATTATCAGTGGTTCTTTGTCTGTTGTGATCTCATTTGTTTTATAACACCTTTATTTACCACTTTCCCTTATTTTTTTTTGTTAGAATTGTGCGAAGAGAGGTGTCTGTGTGTACCTAGTGAAAACCTTTAACAAAAACCTTAAAAGAGAGGTATGATACTCTGAAACTAAATCATTTTGTTCCAAGTTTGCTACCTGTATGATATGTTAAGTAGAAGACTGTTTTTGAGGAAAAAAAAAAAAATCATAGTAATTATACCACATGTCCACCATATTTTGTTCTAATTTTTACACAGGTATATAAGGATCTTAAAATTTCAGTTTTAATTATATCGTAGAGTAGATTTTGTAAGAGTAGAATATTTGTGTGTGAGGAAAGACAGAACTTTGTAATACTAACGTTACGCTATCCTGAAAAGACATTTAATGAATAAGTAATGGAATAATACAATTAGTATTTTTTTCATTTCAAGCTTTGCATCTGCTTTCACATATTGTAGGACATATGGTAAAGATTGAATTGGAAATACACTGTCTTTAGGAAGTACTGGAAGTAATTGACATTCTGATCCTTTTTTTAATCTCAGTATTTCAGTTTTACAGCTTATATACATTCTTAAAAAAACCTGATGGCACAAATGTACTTGCATGAACAAGCCATTAAGTTACTGAAGATGATCTATGTTTGGCTCTGGGACCAGCAGATTTATGTCTGAATCCTACCTCCTGTTGTGTCTTCAGCAGGTGATACTCTAGTGTTAATCCATTTTCTGCTTCACTTCTCCCTCTATGCTATCCTGAAGAAATCAATTATATACATATTTTCAAAATCCCAAGTCCACTTAAAGATTTGCAACACTTTGCAGAGTAAAGAGTCATCTGATGTGAAATGATTGGATCAGCTAATTGGAAATTAGGCATGTGACCAGTCTGAGACTGCTGGAAGTGAAGCCTGAGGTTAGGGTAATACAACAAATCTCACAAGCTGTGGGATTGGGGGGGGAAATGACACAGTAGCAGTTAGTTTCCCACAGATAAATTTATGTAAACAGGCTTTGGTATGTACAAAGCATGAGCAGAAGGCAGTTATTTTGGCCTTCAGTTTTTCACTGATTTTTGTATCTTTGTAGGAATCTGTGGAGCACAAGGATTCTTGCCCAATTTACTCACTATTCCCGAACGATCAAAGCGCAAGTATTGGACTCCAGTTTTACACAGCTGGAGACCTCTACATGTGGATTGGTTTAGGATACTCTTTAGAATTGAAGTGCTAGTTAACCTGTCTGTTGTTGGAACTGTATATGAAAAGGTTTGCATTGTTTTATGCAGCTCTGTTCCATTAAAAGCCAGCCTGGA